GCGATGACGTCATTGTGGTCTATGGAGCGGCCTGAAGTGTGCATATGAAGCAGACTCGCTCCCTCGGTCAAAATCGAGGGGTCGAGGGTCTGTCCATATAAACTTCCCTGCACTTCAAAATGGCAGCGGGGATTCCCCCGAGGGGAAGTGCTTAGGGAAGTTTGCGAGTGCGTGTCTAAAAGTGGAGTGGAATGCAGCCCTAGTCGAGCAAACGTGCTGCTGCGGTGCCTGAGCTAAAATTCCTTTGTAAATTAGTAGAGACAAGTGAAAAGTCTGTATATATTATATGGTTGTTTGGTTTATTTTTGGGTTATTTTGGTACTTTGTTTTTTCCCCCTTTGGTATTTATATTTGTATATATCTTATTTTTGACTGAGCATTTGTAAATATCTACACTGCTGGACTGTTGGATTATCGGTGCACGTGTAAATATAACACCAGTTTGCACTGAAGAAAATCTGCAGGTTAAGCCATCCTTTTTTTTTTGGACATTAACACGTCCCACAGTAGACTGAGGAGACCCAGTCTGGGCCTATTAAAGTCTACTTCATCACATTTGGTGGCAGCGGTGGGATGGCTTCCCGTAAGAAAGCACCGAAAGGCAAGAGGCCTGGTCTGCGCTCACAAGCAAAGTTGGAGGCTAAAGGGGACGAGACCTGGGACAGCTTGACATCGGCAGACAAGGAGGCGTCATCAGTAGATCATCCTGGAGCGTCGAGCAAACACGACTTAGCACAGACCAGTGGCCCTTCCACATTACCCAGCAGGGGCCTGGTGAGCCTGATGAGAGACTTCCTCGAGGCGCAGCAAGTGAGGGAGGAGAGATATGTGCGGGAGCTACAGGGGATTTGTAAGTCAGTCCAGCAGACTGTGAGATCAACCGACTCCAAGTGACATGGGGAGTGTACGGATGGTTCTGCCAACTCCGGGCCCTCTAGGAGTATCCACAGCCCTGACCAGATCACTAACACAGCCTAGAGTGCCCATACTTCGATCAGAGATGCTGGTGCCTGTCTTGCAGCCATGGGACGACATCGAGAGCTATCTGAGGAGGTTTGAGCGATTGGCCCGAACATGGCAGTGGCCAAGGGAAGAGTGGAACTGTCGACTCGTGCCTTTACTGACTGGTCAAGCACTTGAGGCATACCTCACCATGGATGAGAATTTCGCAGACGACTACTACCACCTGAAGGACGCCCTACTGCAGAAGTTCAACATCTCAGCCGAGACGTATCGTCAGCGGTTTCGGGCGGCGAACATTCCAGAGGGTGAGTCACCAACCAAAACGTACCATTGTCTACGGAATCTCTTCCAGAGATGGGTGCGTCCTGATCTGCATTCTAAAGAGGAGATCGGAGAGCTGATCATCCTGGAACAGCCGTACTTGGGTAAAGGAGCACGAACCAGAATCAGGATTAGCAGCTGCAAAGCTAGCACAGCAGTACCTGAAAGCCCATCGATCTGGCCCGCGGACTCAACCTGTCAAAGGTAAAGCATGGTTTGCACACACAGACAGTTCACAAGAGGCTACCCATGAACTTAAGATTGCCACTACACAGAAACTGATCTGCTTTGCATGTCAACAGCCGGGACACAAAGCTTCTGTATGTCCGGCGCGTAAAGCCAAACTGACTGGCTTTTGTTATGTGCCCAGAGAAAAAGATGGGGAAGTAGACTCTGTTGGGGTGGGGCAATGTAATAACATGCTGTTGGACATTACGGTGAATGGACATTCGTTAAAGGCAATGCTGGACACTGGTAGTGCACTCTCTCTAATTAAATCATGCAATGTGATGAATGTTGTCCACTAATGTACCACCACTAATGTACAATGTGTGCATGGGGGATGTAAAGCAGTATCCCAAAGCTGAAGTGTTGGTGGGTGTACAAGATCAGATGTATCTTTTAAATGTAGCAGTAGTTGACACCTTACTTGCTGACATGATTCTGGGGAGAGATCTCCCAACTTTAAGTGAACTGGTGAATGAGAGGGAAAACCAAGTCACTGATGTCATGAATACCATGCCTGTATGTTCCTTTTCAGTAATGACAAGGGTTCAATCCAAGGCGGGTCTGCAGCCTCTGCCAGACATAGACAATAGTCTGCTGCAGGGCGGGACCAAAGGCCCAAGAAAAACACGTCATCAGAGGCGACTACGGAAATATATGGGTACACCAGTCTCCAAACCCATTACGAAAGGGTTTGAGGTTCATGACTGGCAGATCTCAGAAAACCTGCCTGAATTGCAAAGGGAGGATGAAACATTAAATACACTGTTCGAAAAAGCTGAAGGGTTAAAGAAATCTAATGTTGAAGAACAGTATGTGATACACGATGGTATTTTGTATGCCCAAATTGCTGATGTTCTACATGTGGTTGTACCCTTGTCTTGTTGACCCTTTGTGTTGTATCTAGCATACACCATTCCATGGGCAGGTCATTTAGCACAACAAAAGACATACATGCGTATCAGTTCACGTTTCTACTGACCAACCATGTACACTGACGTACAAACATACTGCACCACATGCCCAACATGTCAAAAGACCAGTGCTGTACGTCAGTGGGGTAGAGCACCATTGCAACCATTACCCATCATCTCCACCCCTTTCCGTCACATCGCCATGGACATTGTGGGCCCACTGGAAAAGAGCAGTGCAGGGCACCGATACATCCTTGTCATTTGTGACTATGCCACACGATATCCAGAAGCTTTCCCACTTCGCACCATCACTACACCAAAGGTCATTCACGCTCTCATACAGCTGTTTTCTAGGGTAGGCATCCCAGATGAGATCCTCACGGACCAGGGAACGAACTTTACCTCTCAACTGATGTAGCAGCTTCACCAGCAACTGGGCAGCACAACCATTCGAACTACCCAATACCATCCTCAGACGGATGGACTCGTGGAGAGGTTCAGTCAGACTCTGAAGGGTATGCTGCGGAAGTTCGTCGCAGACACTGGACGCGATTGGGATAAGTGGCTGCCATTTCTTTTGCCTACCGAGAGGTACTGCAAGCGTCAACAGGATTCTCACCCTTTGCACTCCTCTACGGCTGGCAAGTCCAAGGACCCCTGGACATCTTAAAGAAAACCTGGACTAAACCGAAGGCCAAAACAGAGGAGAAGGGCATCGTAAAGTTCATCCTGGAGATGAGAGACCGGTTAGAGACCTATAGGGAACAAGCCAAAGAAAACCTCCAAGAAGCATAAGCGGAGCAGAAGAGGCAGTATGACCAGCAAGCCAGACTGCGCCAGTTCCAGCCAGGACAGAGGGTACTGTTACTGTTACCAACTTCAATCAATAAGTTGCTTGCCAAGTGGCAGGGGCCTTATACTGTTGTGAGGAAGATGGGTCCAGTGACGTATGAGCTCCGTATGACGTATGAGGAGGGAACAGTGGGCCCCAAAGACACAGCATTGATGGTGAGAACAGTAGAGGAAGAGGAGGACAAGCCTGTCCCAGACATGCAACCGCAGAGAGATGCTGCAATGGTGAAGCTGGATCACCAGGACGAGCCACAGCAGACAGAACTGCAAGATCTCCTCCACCAGTTCCCGTCACTGTTCCTGCCGAGGCCTGGATGGACCAAGCTCATCCAACACACCATACACCTCACTAATCCGACTCCCTCAAGACAGCAACCATACAGAATCCCCGAACGACTACTAGCTCCCCTAAAGGCAGAAATTGAGACAATGAAGGAGTTGGGTGTCACTGAACCTTCCACTAGTGAATGGAGCAGCCCATTGGTCATTGTACCAAAAAAAGATGGATCACTGCGTGTCTGTGTTGACTTCCGCAAGCTGAATGCCCAGTCGAAGTTCGATGCCTACCCTATGCCAAGGATTGATGACCTGTTGGAGCGGATAGGGCAGGCCCGGTACATCACGACACTGGACCTGTGCAAGGGGTACTGGCAGGTGTCCCTAGACCCGAACTCCAAGCCTCTCACTGCCTTCAGAACACCAGTTGGACTATACCAATTCACTGTTCTACCCTTTGGTCTGCACGGGGCACCTGCCACCTTCCAACGGCTGATGGACCAGGTACTCCGGGGCTGTGAAGAGTGGGCGGCAGCCTACCTGGATGACGTAGTCATCTACAGCCATAACTGGGAGGAGCACCTAAGCCATCTACGACAGACCCTAGAGAGAATCCATGCTGCGGGCCTGTCCTTGAACGTGGCTAAGTGCGAGTGGGCAAAGCGAGAAACAAACTACCTGGGGTACCAATTGGGCAATGGTGAACTATGGCCACAGGCATGTAAGGTACAAGCAATCCGGGACAGTCAGAGACCTAGAACGAAGAAGGAAGTTCATCCCTGACTTTGCCTCAATAGCAGCACCACTGACGGACTTACTACAGAAAGCAGGAAAGAACCCGGTGAAATGGACCGAGGCCTGTGAAAATGCATTCAACTCCCTGAGAGGGAAAATGTGTTCAGCACCAGTGCTGCAGAGCCCTGACTTCAACCAGCGGTTCCTGGTACAGGTGGATGCCTCTGACAAGGGGATTGGAGCAGTACTGGCCCAAGGGACTCTGGGGGCAGAAAAGCCTGTGGAGTTTTTGAGCAGGAAGCCATTGCCCAGGGAGACCAGGTACTCAACAATCGAGAAGGAGTGCCTCGCAATAAAGTGGGCCCTAGAAGCTCTACGATATTACCTCCTGGGGCGGGAGTTTGACCTGGAGGCAGACCATTGGGCACTAACCTGGATACACTCCATTAAAGACCACAACGCTTGAGTGACTCGGTGGTACTTGGCTCTCCAGCCTTACAGGTTCCAAATCTGTCATTGCCCCGGGAGGAAGAACCTTGTGGCCGACTATCTGTCCAGGTTCCCAGACAGTACGCGGCTTGAAGAGGGGGGAGGTGATGTGAAGAAGTGACCTTCTTCACCGCTGCAAGCACTGGCACTCATATATGTACACGCACACACATACACAATTTTTACTCACCCATCCTGTCTGATGACAATGATTTTGTATTCCGATCATCTAGTAAAAGTTGAGCAGAAATCTTTGTCTATGACAGCTGTAATGTAGGACAACATAGACAGCAGAAGCTGTGCTCCATGTAACAGGATGGTGCTTTGGGCCTTTTTTGCTGAGGATTTATCAGCGGAGGCCCTTCTGGCCGCAACCAGCACTTGACAATATGTGAATACAAGAATTACCCGCACAATGGAGGAGTACAGGCCATTCATAACTTTGCTCAGTTCTTCATGGTATGGTGTGTTATACACATTTGTTGAACTACAGAGAGTACCTGTAGTAAAGACAGATAAAGGACAAACAATTACTATGACAATCAAGTCAGTCAATCCAGGTAAAACACTGACACCCCAAATCAGAGAGATGAGGATGTAGGTCCTGCGCACTGTGCAGATCTGATGGTGATGCAGTGGTTTGCAGATGGCAATGTAACGCTCAACGGCCATACCGGCCAAAGTCAGAGGAGTGTTCTTATGAGTAGTTGCAGTTATTATTAGCAGGGTGACACAGAACGGGAAAGGAACCTTCGGCCATGCACAAGCCATCACAGAAAGAGTTACACTGAAAAAAACCATGAGCATATCATTAATAACCAAGTGAATATATAATATATATCTTGGATCATTGTAGAAAATTGAACTCCTAAAGAATGTTAACACAAACACTCCATTGATGGAGTTAATTATGATCCCAAAAAGAACAAAGATGAAATTTCGGACAAAAGCTTCCATATTTTCTTGGGCGCTGTATTGAAGCATTGTAGAGTTCATCGTCCTTTTGCAGTTGTAAAATTTCTGTCAGGACCACTATCGTCAAAGATGATTGACAATTATGACCAATCAAATATGTTGCCAAAACCCACATAACCTATAGCAACAATTCAGTTGCCTAACAGATGACCTAATGAATATGTTGCCAATACCTTAAAAGCTTAAGCAACATGTTCTCAATAACACCAGATAGACTTGTTTCCGAAAACATGTTTCTGATTCAACTGCAGCTTTAAGAACAAGCATGTTACGAATAACGACCGGATTGCTCTGGAACATGCATGTTCCCAACAATACAGCTATAACTTAAGAACAAGCATGTTCCCAATACCAACCAAGCTTAAGAACAAGCATGTTCCCAATACCACTACAGCTTTCAGAACAAGCATGTTCCGGATAACAACCAGATAGCTCTGGGACAAGCGTGTTCCCAACAATACAGATGACAGTCCAAAGTCTACCAAATGGAAATACAGAGGACACAATTTTTGTAGAGCATACAATATAGATCAGTTGTTATGAATTAAAATCCAAATTAATCAAAATCACCTCATCAGTTTGCTTAGTTTGGCACCAGAAGTAAACTGACCAGTTTATATACGCATTTGAACAGAGAAAGAGGGAGGGAGAGAGGGCATAAGTGAATGAGCGAGCGAGCGAGAAAGAGACTTTGGTATACCCTTCCTTTTTTTGTTGACCACATACTACAGCTACTAAATCAAATAAATATGGTGACATAAAAGATTGAATTAGAATTTGACCTGAATAATATATATTATTCCACTAAGAAATAAGTAGTCCATTAGAAATAATACTAATACTAATAAAAATAATAAAACCTCAGGCTGCGGACTTTCAAACTCTGCTTGCCTCTTTTGATCTCTAGCGAGTGTTAACTGCAGCTGCTCACAAATCAGGTAATTGACCCTACGCAAAGACATTCGCCCCCCTTCATTACTGTTGCTACGTCCGACAAGCGATGGCGCTCTCACGCCACAAATCATGTTTTCATGCAGTGACAAATACATCACAGAGCAAAGAGAAAGCTGACAATGTGCCTACAGACAAGACAGAGCAGGTTAGTTTTGGTATGAAAAGTCTCAGCTTTCAAATTTTGACATTTTGTAAGAAATTCAAACAGTAAATACCGTTTCATGGCTCTTTGATGTGTCATGACAGATCCCTGTAGTGCCTCAGGTCAAGCGACACATAGACCCATCATCTCTTTCTCTTTACTAGTTATAGCACAAAATAAACATGAATGAACATAAGAAGGTATAAGACCATTTTTCAAGTTCAAGTCCACCGACATTAATCGACTCTCCTTTCTGGTTTGTTTGTCGGATAAAATTGCAGATTTGCCATTATGATTGGTCAGATCACTTGTCAATCACACTTCCTATGAAGAGTCAATTGGACCTTCGACTAAAACGTAACCTTTTGTCTCTCGCAACAAGTCATGGCAACGGATTTTGGTGGGATTTTGACGGATTTTGGCTATATTTATTCAAAGGAGGCGTATGCGTGTATCTTTACAGAAGCAGCACAGAGAGCCGCTTCAGAAACGTGCGTGGCGCGGCTGGAATAAACACAAGCATTGACTAGAGTCGCCGCAATCAGCTTCAGTGTCTGTATCTGAGCCACACCGTGTGCACACACACAGACGTGTGCAGTGTAAATTGTCTAAGCATTGATGGTAGGGAAAGTCCCTTATACTGGAGAGCAGCCACGTATGAAGTGTTTCTTTGAGGTTATAGTACATTGAAGAATGATCATATGACTTTTTACATACGCCATGTGATGCCTTGTGCTACTGAAACTCTATGCTCCACTTTGACGTTTTGGTGCCGATGACTTGATGGAAGGCACCCAGGGGACGAGCGGCAGAGATGGAGATGTTGGAGGTGAAGACCCAATTGGAGCCATCAGACACTTAACCAGGGTGACACCGCAGGCCTGGAGGGCCACGGTGGAGCTAACGGGTCATGTGACCGAGGCAGAGGAGGGGACTCGGAAGACCGTTGTGGAGCCAGAGTGACGGAGGAGCTTGATGGAGCCAGAGGGATGGAGGGAAGAGATGAAGCCAGAGGAGTGGAATCCCATGACGGAGGCAGGCCGATGATTGACCAAGGCAGAGCTGGTGGGACGAGGGAGCCTGGTGGAGCCAGTGTGATGATAGGCCATGGTGGAGACGAGGGAGAAAGAAACCAAGGCAGAGCAGATCGGTCAGAGGGGCGAGGTGGAATCCAGGGCTCACTGGCCGGAGGCGGAGACAGGGGATCTTCACTAGGGTTGGGTATCCTTAGAAATTTTCCGGTTCCGATTCCGGTTCCATTTAAATGAACTATTTTTTTTTTTTTTACCTTCATTTAATGTAGTGTTGCTGGAAGGTAGTAAGTAATTTTGAGTAATGCTAGTCCATCAGTCACATGTGCTTCAAAGTTGATGTTTTTTACACTATCAATAACATTTTGCTTTTCAAGCAGGAATAATCTGGTTGGCCAAATAGTCCCTTGAGGGCTAAGACATTTGTTAATTTCCCTAAATTAATGAAATATTAACTGTTATACTTATAACCATGTATACACACACTCCATAAAGCCCCTATTTTACGAATAATAATGCAGTCAGGAGATGGTGTGATGCAATGAGTGGTTTCCACATTTTTAAACATTTAAAATGCATGAAAATAAATATTTTCTGTCACTTTGTTTATCACTCTTGAAATGACATGTACACTAAATAATCTAACCCTCATACTTACATAACAATAGCAGTCTATTTATTTAGTGGACCAAGCTGAAGTCAGTATGTATATTAATGACAATATGGGACAAATATAATGTAATTTAGTGGCGGCAGGAGCTGCGCGCTGCCAGTACATGTACAGTCAGACAAAACAACGTGCTCAGTTATCAAAGATGCGAGTGCGCATACAGCCGTGGAAAACGATGTGTTCGGCAGTTAAAGACGCGACGCGGCACGTCTGTGGAGTGCGCGTCATGGGAAGCAATGCTCAGTAATTAAAGAGGCAGGGCAGAGTTTCTATTATTTGGTATGTGACATCCTTTACGGGAAACGCCGGCGCAAGTCAGCTCACAGCGCTTGGTCACATGTCGCACCAGAACCGTTTTCGGAACCAAAACTTAGAAATTGCTCACGGTTCCGGTTCTTTTAAAAAAACAGAACCGGTTCTGAATAAGAAAAAATAGTTATATTTTCATGACGCAGCTGACACAGAACAGCATACATTGTTTACGTCCAGTTGATATTCTCCAAAATGGCACCAGGGTGATGCGGAGGAGACGAATTGTTGAATAAAGTCGTTATGTTTTTTCTTTTGCGCACAAAAAGTATTCTCATAGCTTTGTAAAATCACGGTTGAACCCCTGATGTCACATGGATTATTTTACCGATCTCCTTGCTACGTTTCGCAGACGTCTCCTTGTCGTCCTCCCCCCAGCCCGCTCATTTCACTATCCGTCATTGATGTGCCCTTCGGGATGGATCTGGTGGGACCGCTGCTGAAGTCTGCCCGGGGACATGAGCACATCCTGGTTATCCTGGACTATGCCACCCGGTACCCGGAAGCCATTCCACTTCGAGCGGCCAACGCCAAGAACATTGCCCGCGAACTGTTTCTGCTGGCCAGCCGCGTCGGGATCCCAAAGGAAATCCTGACTGACCAGGGTACCCCCTTCATGTCCCGGGTCATGGCGGACCTCTGTCACCTCCTCAAGGGCCAACAATTGCGGACGTCGGTCTACC